TCCCGGAAAACGCTATAACGCATCAAATCGATCGTTAATCCTATTACTCGTGAAAGACTAATCCAATTGTCATGAAATTTTGGTACATGGCATTATTCCGTCAATATCTTGATCGAGTTCGAAGATGAGCCTGATCAGCTGTGCCTTTGCTTACTTTCAGTGAAGTTTTCTCCGAGTTATTTGTATGTTTTTCTGTTCGACCGTTTAGAATTTACTCCCTGTATCAGTTATGATCACCAAACTTATCATGCTAGCCCATCAGATCCAGGAAACGATATCCAAAGTGTTGCATGGCTAGTTAAGGGGTATATATGAGGAACTTGGATGTGATCTGGGTGAAATTTCATCCACGTGATAGAAAAGAAGGCCAAACATTTCATGCCACTTCTGTAGAAGTAGTCACGCGTAGATAGAGCGCTGTTGAGTGAGGACAAGGTTGTATTTCACTCAGATCACCCATCTGGTAGTTATTGGTCCACACGATAACTCCTGTAAGGCTAATTTGATTGTCATGAAATTTTCAATGGCGTAGTGTTACATTAGAGTCTCCCTGAAATTCGAGGATACGACTGATTGAACCGCTGATTCCTTTCGAGCGAAAGTGCTTTACCAATGAATTATTCGATGGCACATTCGATACATCGTTGAAAACTCTTCCGACTGCTTTGCCTCTCACGCGAAACCTACGTGTTGTGCATAGTAGTAAAGTTTTCGTATGTATTGTTATACGTGGTAGGACTGCCCAGATTATTATGGCACGGTCGGTTCCGACCGGTTAGGTTCGTTTTCTGCCCATTTCCTTGCCGCCGGAAGTTCAAACGTATGTTCCACTCATTTCCCCACCGTTTCCTGCAAACTTCGAGCTGAAAACGGTCAGGAATCTGCCGGAACTTGCTGGAATCGGCGAAAACTGTCCCGGAATCGAGAAGAGCTGTACCGGAGCCAACTCAGATTTCAACGGATCCAGTCGCCGGAATGATCGATCTGGGTGGCTATCTCACAGCAAATTTCGACTACGAATAGCAGTGAAATCC